GACTCATAATGATTTCGTTGCTGTTAGTGTTGGAGATGCTAGTAATGCTTCGAATCAATATTTTATGTGTGATGGATTAGTGAATAAAACAATTTTTAATAAACCTGTTGATGCGTTAGGTAATATTTATACGAATGCTGATGTTAGTTGTGGTAATGTTAATATTGATACCAATGGTAAGTTAACAATTGATACAAAATGTGAATTATACAGATATGTTAGTGCTTTTTCATCTTTTGATGTTAGAAATACTGACTCTAATTTTTCAATTAGGTTCATTTGTGGAGACCCTGCCGTTCAATCTAACATAGTTGGAGCAGTTAATATTTCTACCGGATGGACTTTTAACACTGCTACTGCTGATGTTATTGGATCTTTTCGCAGACGATGTTTATGTTAAAACTGGTGGAGCATTAAGAAGTAATCATATAGCTCCTCATGGCGGAACATTAGTACCCGTTGATATTAATTTAGCAGTTCAAAATGCTTATTTAGCAACAAATACCGTTCAATCATTCGATTTAACAACGGTTTCATTTTTGAAAAATATTTCAATGACTACTGGAACAGATATATTAATGGGAACAAGTGAAATATCGACTTATTATGATGGCATTAATGTATCTACAATTGATGTAATGTTCAGAACATCAAATACAGCGTTTAGAGTTTCAGATAGTTCAACTACACCTTCAGTTTTATTATCTATTGATAAGACATTTGGAATGACAGTCAATTCTGGAAGTTTTACAAATAATGCTCCATCGACCTTTAAAGAAAATGTAACGGTTGTTGATACAAAAACGTTATTTGTAAATGATATTCAAGATGCGTCAGGTGATGCTATTGATATTACCGCTGGAACTGTAACCATAAATGGAAGTTTAGTAGACAACTCTGATGCAAGATTGAGATTTGCTTAAAAGTAATTGTAGTAGTATGATTAAGAAATGTAAACCAAAAGTACCTATATTATTACATAAGGCTTTGCTAAAGGTGATAGATAAACAAGAAAAATGGAAAATAGATTAAGGAATTGAAAAAAGAAAAACCTAAATAATAACATATAATGGGTATTGGTCAAAGTAAAAACGAAGAAAATAGCAGTATGGAAGACATTAAGAATTTAAGAGTAGATGAAAAAACAATAGCAGATAAAAAAAAGTCTGTTCAAGAATGTGTAACAAGAATAGAAAAATTAGAAAAACAATAACCGGACAAGCTAATATACAAATTACCTTCGTTGAATTTATGTAGTTATAGTTTATTCTTAAATTTCATAATATTATTAATAGTAAAATTATTAATATTATTAATTAAAAATGGATAAAAGTTACTAATAAAACTTTGTCTATCATCATTGATGACTTTAATAGTTTTTTCAATCGTAATGAAATAAAATCAGTAACATTGTGTACACATTTATTTGTATTATTATTAATGTCATTATTCATAAAACAATAAATATCAATTAAACTATTTGATGTTAAAAGACGATTATCAACAGGACACGGACTTTTCATTGACTCAGTATTAACAAACATAGCATAATCAATTGATACTTTTAATGGTTTATGATTTTGATTTAATTTATCTAACTCACTTAAATTAAAAATATATGATATGCCATTATTAATATTGATATTATGAGTTTCAAAATGTTGCATTTTATTTTATTTGTAAGGCTTACACACTGGTTTAAATTTGTTAATATAATTTTGAATAATATTATTACTTTTTTATTTTTATTTATAATTTAACATCACCTAAATTATAAGATAATACTATTTTTAAAGTCTATTGGTAAATCATAAAATATCATATAGTATTAATATATTTATTTATTTAATGAGTAATTTTCAAATAATGCGAAAAGTTGTTCATAATGATACGGTTAGGGTCATTTTGGAGAAGGTTAATATACGAAAAACTGTGTGGTTCATCAGTGGCAGTCTCATATATTTTATCGATTAGTTTCTTGCTTTCGTGTAACTTATCGCTTCTAATTATCATCTTGCAATATTTCAATTTCTTTGAAGTTTCTAACTTTATATGAAACAAATGACTTATATTTACTCTAAGAATTGGCGGTACGGTTGGTGATTTTTGAAGACTGACAAGCGTTGATATACCACTATGACGACCTCTACAAAATAAAGAACTTAGCAATTTGCTATTTCTTGTTATTGCTGGATTATCAGATACATCATCCAATATAACTAATATATTAAATAATTTCTTCGTTCCTTGTTTTTTCTGGTATTCAGTTTTTTTTATTTTGAGTTTCTATAACTCTTTCTAAATCTACAACATTGAACTCATCCCACCAACACGGTTCTTTATCAGTATCTACTTTCAAACCTTCTTTAATGTATTTCTTCACTGGCAACCAAATACTATCCAAATTTACTGACGGTGACCAGATAAAAATCCGTTCAGATGCACCTCTGTAAATATCAAGTATCATTGATACAAGTAAAGTTGATTTTCCGGAACCAGACGGACCTACAATCATCGCTCTCATCGGTAATTTAGGTACAACCTCGTGCTTACTTTGTTTAAAGTCATATTTGATTTCATCAATTGGTTTTACATCAGGCATAATAAAATAATATTAAAGTTATTCAGAAAATATTGTATATTTATTTTTGAATGGAACATCGTTTTTCATGATATGATGGTGGTGAATATCAATGAAAAATGGAACAGGCTGTCGCGTAGCACGCGAGGCTCGTTCCTCGCGTCCATTGTTTCAATCAATGAGCATTGAGACTAGTTAGTTTGAATGAGTTTCAAACCTACTTGCGTTGTCCAGTGCAAAGAAAACTCCATTGCTGTGCCCTCCGAATATTCCACCTTGCGTGAAATAATAAGATAAAATAATGATTTTAACAATTATTTCATCTTCTTATTTATCATGGATAGATTATATTGATATAATAGATGAAGTAGAGAATATAGAACAAGTTGTTACACCTGATACTAAAACTAAAACATGCTGTCATTATTCATTAGAATTAATTAAGTTTGTGATGCAATATATCAAAAATAAAATGTAAATATTTATATAAATGGGAAGAAAAAATAAGACAGAACCAGTTGTTTCTTCAACTGATGAATAAAAAGAAGAAATGGTTAAAGAAACATCAGTTATTGAGTTTGCTTGTCCAATGCGTAAAAAGATGTTAGAAATGAAGAATGAAATCGAAATACAAAAGAAAGGAAATTGCAAATGCTCGTGTATTCCAACAAGTTTCAAAACAAGTAAAAATGATAAGAAAATGAACATTGATAAAACTAAAGACAGTATCAACTTAGAAACAGGTGTTCATAATATAACTTTTAAATGGGGTAAGGATGCATCACTTTCGGAAAATGGTGATAACGAAACACAAGAAGTATACGTGAAATGATGAAAAAACTAATTTTTAAAGAGTAGATTTAACATTATTTTAAACATTTAGTTTTAAGAGTTTAGTTTTATAATGAAGTATATGGAGGAACATTTGCTGAACATTGACAGTAGTTTGAAGTTGTTGTTTCCAAGATTAGACAAAGTGTTGGAACAAAATGAAAACATACTGAAAATATTAAGGAGCATGAATACTAAACCTACATATAATAACAATAACAGTTATAAATCAAAAATAGTAGATATAACCACAAATAAACGAAATATTTGTATAAACAAACTTAATAACACAGAAATTCAAGAACCCAAGCAATCTACAATGGATGATTACAAAATTGACTATGATGAAGAATCAGGGATTTATTCATAGAGAATATTATCTAAATATCTTTAACAATGAACTTATTAGAGATGTTTAGCGGGACAGGCAGTGTTTTGACAGGTCCACAAGACAGAGCAGGCCAGCGACGGCTATCTCTACGTCTCCTCCTCGAACCATCAGCTTTCCCCGTGGGTTTGGAGCCGAAGCGGTGGAATTTGGAGTTGTTCAAATTTAAAGAGGCTGTCCTGAAACTTCACCCATTCTTAAGCCACCAATCCACCTTTTTGGCTCCAAATATCACAGTTCAACGGCTGGCGCTCAGCGGAGTTTTGGGCTGGTCAAGCCGAACTCTGGATGAGTTAGACGTCGAGAGGGACGGCCCCGTGGCCCAGAAAAAGACAACTCGTTGTACAAGACTTGGACTTGTCCGCCCATCTGCATTTGTTTAAACAGTTGCTAGGCTCCCCTCTACCAACTTTTTTTGAGCAAGTTCTGGGGTGGAGCAAGAGACATCAAGCAGAATAAGCCCGGTCGCAAGAAGTGTCTTGGCCAAGGCTCGCAGAGGCTTAGAGCCGTGGATTTCGCTCAATTTTCGATTGGCTTCTTTTGCGTGCAGACACTCGGAGCTGTTGCCAGCCCTTTCCGGCATCTTTGCCCGGCCCTCTGTGTGTAACCGGTACTGGACATTCTCCGTGCTTGGCTAAACACATGCTTCTTTTGGATTTTGGTTTCAACAAACGCACCATTTGCATCCTCACATGTTGCGACTTTGGTTTGCCTTCGAGGGATGCGAATCCACACGCGTCAAGACCCAAAAAGGGTCGGCAAGTTGGCCGTGCCTTGCGCAGCACGGATCAAAGCTGAAAGCTGTCCGCTGGTATGTACATATTATGATGGGTCAAGAACGAACCACCAGGATATGGACCTTCAGGTTTTAGACTCGGGGCCGAACCATTTTGGGATTCCCATAGTTCGCTTATCTTTTGACCCACAGCCCGTATGGTGTGGAATTTGAGCCCTGCAAGGACAGGACATGTTCCGCTTGTGCCACTCTCAATGCCAGCGCTTTCGAGCATTGGCAGCTGCCAGCGCGAGCCAGAAACACGGAAGCCAATTGCGGATGTCTGGCCTGGTTTGCACGAGCTGAAATGGGTGTGGGTGAAAACCACTTGGATCCCATTTTGGGGTAGGTGCACCGCGCATTTTAGTTTGTTTTAGTGGGGATTCGGATGTTCACTTGCAGGTACGATTTGGGTTTTGGCCCATAGCCAACTTGTGAGAGGCGGAAGTCAAGGCTCCAATTGTCAGCGCCATGGCGGAGTCCGCGGCCAGTGGCGCGGCTGGGCCAACTCCGACTTGCCAGGGCGTTGGGGAGTCCAAGCCAGAGAATCCTACTCCCACTCCGCCCGAGAGCATGATTCCATTCGCGAAGGCTCCGTGGGAGGGCGCATGAGGGCGTCGGCAAGAAGTTGCTGCAAGTCTTCGCCTAATCTGCTTTTATTGTTTTCTTGCTATTGTGAAGGAATCCCCATGTCTTCCTTCGCAGAACTTTGTTCAACTTGTGGCCTAAGTTTGTAAGACCTTCCATCTAGCACCTTATTCAGGCCCCAGTCACCTTAGCGCAATCCGCCTAGCTGGCGATGCGTACGCTAAGCCTGGTGCAAAATAAGAAAACATCCGCATTGCCATGGTGCTGCCACGCCTTTCAAAGCAATCCATTTCCAGAAGAGGAACTGTTTGCTAGTTGTCCTACTTGGCCAATGGGTCAGCTAGTTAGATGCACCACTTAGTCACTGGGCGACAGGACAGCTAGCAGTAGCTAGCTTGCAACATAATCATTGGCTAGATAGTTAATCAGCCAAGTTGCTAGCGATCTGACTGTGGCGCAAAACATACAAAGCCAGTGCAACTCCAGCTGCTCTTGTGAGCCACACCCACACCCAGATTGTCACTAGTTTAGCTATAGTTAGTTGCATCTAGCTGGCTGGTTCTGATGTCTAGCAAACTCGTTAGCATTGGTTCTGGCTAGTTCGCTAGCTGGCGAGCTACAGGGCGCTAGTGGTTAGCCATGCAAAACCGAACGGAGCTGACCGCTTCGGGCCATGTGAGTTGTTAGCTACTCAAACCACCCTCACTTATTTCTGGTTCGCGCCAAAGCCCCTGGTTTGGGAAGAGGGCTCTGTGAAACCCACGCCGAACCAATCGAAGCAACCGATTGGAGGGAGGCTAAACTTATTGTTTGATTGTCGCAAAACAGCCCGCGTACTTGGGACTTTCCCTCACGCTCCGAACGAAACGCACGCATGTTTTTGTGTCTTTCTTCCCGTGGCTTTCCAATCCACATGCCACCTATGCCCCTCCCCATGCAAGCACAGCTAACCTGGTTTCCTCTGTTGACTAGGGATCGGCGCCCTATTGGGTGGGCAGGTTGAAGCGTTTTGATTTTTGCCAGCCATGCCCGTGCCAGCCGGGCATAGTCATTCGCGCGTGTTTTTGCATGTCCTTGGAGCTCGTGCATCTCAGGCAGCTTGACAAGTATGCACGCGTCTGACATCCCGGTAACTAACTCAGGCCAGCTGAATCTCAGTCAGCGCACACCACAGCGGCTGTACTTTTCAAGTGCAGCTTGGTCCGGATGCGCGTGCGTGGGCGTGACTATAATGTGCCAGCACGCGTGCAGCTTTGACGTGATGCCGTGATCAGGTGTGCTTGTCATGCGCAAGCGTACTCTGACGTGATGCGCGTGATAGGGTGTGCTTATCGTGCGCCAGTGTGCGAGCAGCTCTGACTTAATGCGCGTGAGCAGGTGTGCTTATCATGCGCGAGGGTGCGAGCAGGTCTGACATGATGCGCGTGAGCAGGTGTGTGTGTGTGTGCAGCTGTGACGTCATGCGCGCGAACGGGTGTGCTTATCATGTGCCAGCTCTGACGTGGTGCAAGTGAGCGGGCGTGCTTGTCATGTGCCGACTTCGCGTGCTCTATGCGCGTGAGCGGGTGTGCTGATCATGTGTCAACAAGCGTGCAGCTCTGACGTGATGCACGTGAACGGGGGGTTTGCTCATCATGTGTCAACGAGCGAGCAGCTCTGACTTGTCGCGAGTAAGCGGGCGTGCTAATCAGGTGTGATGCGCGCGACATCATGCGCAGGCGTGCGCGCAGCTCTGACGTGACACGCGCGCGAACGGGTGTGCGTATCGTGTGCCAGCGTGTGTGCAGCTCTGCCGTGGTGCGAGTGAGCCGGTGTGCTTGTGATGTGCCAACTCGCGCGCAGCTCTACTTGGATGGTCGGTTGGGCTTGCAAGTGCTTGTGCCAGTTGTCAAACTTACGGGCCTACTTAGAACCATGGTTGCGCTACTTACAAAATAGTATGCGTGTCGAACTGATATTCGAGTTACATAACTTCAGCTATAAGTAGCACGCGTCGGTGTTATAACACAAGTTACGGGGAACATATAAGTCGGCGATAAGTTCAACCGCTGGGGTTACTAAGTTCGACGGTCGAACTTGGTAAGTTGGACAGTTCGACTTGCTAAGTCCAACGGTTGAACTTGCTAACTCCGACGGTTGAACTTATAAGACAAGTATCCATGTATCTGCGCATGTCTACACGCATGCAATATGGGCAGAGCCCGAGTCCACCGACCACTCGGCAGCTCTTCCACACCAAGGGCGCGTTATCGCGGCTGGGCACACTAGCCTCTTGTGTTGCATTTTCTTTGCCATTCATTGGTGGTTGTGTTACTTGTTTCTTGGCTATATTCATTGATGGCTGCGTTATTTTTTGCATTTCAATCGCGCTTGCGCTTCAACAAACTGCTCTGTGGCTCTAAAGGTTTCATATCTACCGCGCTCACTGCTTTGAACTCCTCCTGCATGGTTGCTTGGTCCCAACTCACCAGGACTCTGCAAAGATCCCATGGCCTCGCATGGAGCGTGCGATTTCCTTGAAAACACCAGTTTGAATCTACGCGCTCACAAATTCACGTTTTGAACCGAAAGGGGCGCTGGCCCAACTGTTATACACAGGTTGCAAACATGTACGTTTTAAGCCAAAGGGGCGCCGGCCCAACTTGCACAGGTTGCGTGGTCTTCCTGACACAGGCCGCGAAGTGCCGCATGCGATTCTGGCCAAAGAGCGCGCGTGTATCATAATTACATGTGTGTCTCGGGCTCTCTAAAACTTAGAGTGGTAACATGATGTGAAGCCAATGTCAAGCGTTATGCCAATGAGATCCACAACGCCGGGAGTTGGTTCTCAAAGCATGTCATCCTCAACGCTGCTTTTGCTCAGCTCTTGCGTGTGCAGGAGCTCACGCCTCGCGACTTGGAGTTTTCCCCGCAAGTGGCTGAGTGTGACATGGTCCTATACACTGTAGGTACTCACAATGAAAAACAAGCCTTTGCCGAATTGTTAGGTTTTGACGCGATTGACGGGTGGGTTTCAGGAAATATGCAAAGCGTATCAGCCTGATGTGGCGTGTTGCAAGGTGGGCAGCCGTCTACGGATCGTGCCAGAAAGCTGGTTTGGCTGATTGTGTCATGAGACCAGTCGATAAAAGAACCTTCCTGTCTGCCGGCGAGCGACCGTCTCCGCTTTACGCAGAGCAACGAGTTTTGCTCGCGTGTCATATCCTGCCGCAAAGCCTCATGGTTGCAGGGCGTGGATGCCACAAGCGGGCTTGCCGTGGCTGCGGGAGAGCTCTTGGACTTCAGTTCGTGGTGGCAACTCGACAAGCTGGGGCTGAAGCTCCCGATCTACCTCAACGTGACTGGTGTCGCCATGAGCAGCCGGATGTTTGAGTTCGAGGAAGAACGCATGCACCGTGGACGCATGATTGTCGTGACGAGGACCGGCGTCAGGGCTACCTGGACATCTTGTTCCGGACGGTGAGGGATGCCGCGTGGTGGCGCCCACGCTGGTGTTCTCGGAGGACAAAGAGAAGGTCGCAGTTGTGTGGTATTCCCCGATGACGGGCGTATGTCCTTGTGGCGGCGCTCGTGTGCGAAACAGTTCAAGAGCAAAGGATGGCGCCGGACGAAGTCGCCAATGTGCATCAAGAAGTGATGTTTGGGAATCACTGCCCCCTCCGTGTGCGCCAAGCAAAACAGTTCGAGGTGCCTGGACATCTGGATCCGTGAAAGTAGACTTGCGGCAAACACGTCCACCACTTCGCAAAGAGCGTAGAAGGACATGACTGTGATTCGAATTTTCCAGTCTGAGTGCGTCTCCAACCTGAATAGCCGCGCTCACCGTAAGAGTCTCCGAAGCCGACTCTGAAAAGGCTTTGGACTTGGACAAGCATTTCGAGCCAGACGCGCCCAACGCGCGAAGGTGCTTCGGCCAAACGAGGGATCTCCTGCGGTAAGTCCAGTCTATATATAGAAAGTTGAAAAGAGCTCATCACTACATATACAGAGATTCAGAAAACAAGTGAAATCTTGTGTGGGCAGGGCGCAGGACTGCGTCAAGCCGTTCAGAGCTGAACCCCAAAGGCCCAACAATCTTGAGGCACAGCTTCTCAAAAGTTCCTTGCGCCAGAACGCAGTGCGTCCAATCGTATTGGAGCATCGAGATCGGCTGAATGTCTTGCAGGAGGGACGCGTCAAACAGCCCACCCTGCAGCACTGGGAACCAATATCCGAAATCCACCCGTAACTCAAATGCCAGTGCGCAACAAAGGTTATAGGGCAACACGGTTTGACTTCCCGCAAAGTTGTCAGTAACCACGCCCCGCCTCGTGCACTGCGTTTATGCCAAGGCCTTTCAGGATCAGCTTCCTTTGCCCAACGCCGGCGCCGACACACGCGGGGCTCTGTATATAGTCCGCAGCTTGGAACATGGAGCTGTCAGTGTGTTCCTGAAAGGACGCCTTACGATGGGAGCTGATTGGGACCAGCCCCTCATCGTAAGTCGCCAGCTCGGACGACACACTGACGACGTTGCGGCATAAATAGCACGGCTTTATGCCCGACGCGTTTTGTGCTGAAACGTGGCTTTCAAACTTTCACCCGAGCTTGAAACATTTTGCCAATCGATGGCAGAAACACTCCGTTCGCAAGGGCGCCTTCCTGGCTGAGTAGCTTTTTCAACGCTGCCACCATCACCTGCGACATTGCTCCCGGCTTCGTGCTTGATCAGCAAAAGGTACTTGGATGAGCCGCGAAATTGCTAGAAGATAATACTGGTTATCTGTTTTAGTAACACGTTGCCATCTTTTTTTTAACCTAGTTGCAACCTAGTTGCAAATCCTACGAAGTGCTAGCAACTTCTACTAACCAGTGTAGCACATAGTAGGACTTAGCAAAAAAAGATATGTGCTAGCAAGTTCTATAGAAGTTAGCAGTAGTTGCACTTGAATGTTAACCGTTTAGCTAAATTTGAAGCCTGGTTTAGCATGTGGTTAGCTAACCACTTAGCACACTTGCTAAAC